ACCAGGAAGACGCAAGGAGCAGCACGAGGGGACAGCTTGTCCGCAGACAAGTCGCGGACAAACGCCCGAGATCCCCAGACCCGGAACGCCGACGCATCGCCAACCTTCCCCGTCCACAGCAAGGCTGGGGAGGTCTCCGGCCTGGAGACTCTGGGGTGTAGGTTGATCTGATGCGCCGCGTACCTCACCGCAAACGGCCATAGAAAATGGGGAGCAGCCGCATGCATCATAGACGTACGAGCGACGTCCATGACCATGCCAATGCGGCGCTCAGCAATCCCATTTTGCTGCGGGGAGTCCGGAAGCGTGAAGGTCTGACGGATTCCTCGTGCGCGACAGTAGGCTCTCAGAAGGCCAGACGAAAACTCTCCGCCTCTGTACGAGTGCAGACGCAGAACAAGAAAGTCCGAGCCAAAGCTCTGCCTGAGCTGGAGACAAGCTGCGCGGATCCAGTCGATCAGCACCTCAGTGACATCACCCTTGCTGCGCAAGGGGAAGACTGCGGTGTAACGCGAGTAGTCGTCAACAACGAGCAGGAAGTAGCGCTCGTGACCCTGTCCACGGACGCGGGCTGGGCCCCACACGTCCATGTGAAGCGTCTGCAACGGGGCCTCTGTCAGAGGAAACTGGGAGGAGTGAGGGGCAGCCCGCTGGCGCCCCTCGACAAAGGGGACACAGGTAGGGCCAGGGCCCTGAGGAAGGGGAGGGAGGGACCGAGGGAGACCAGAAACAAGAAGACGGGAGGCCATGCCTCTGAGCCGAAGCAGAGAGGGGTGACCAAGGCGGTGGTGCCAGAGGAGAGTCTCGTGAGACAGGAGACGACACGAACAGGGGGCAGACTCAGGACCAGACCTGGATGCTGCAGCAAACACCTGACCCGACGCAGTGACCCTACCAGACTCAACAACTGGAGGAGACTCAGTGGTCAGTGTGTACAGGCTCGACCCCGGCTGACGGGTAAACGTAGCCAGGTGTCGGCCTGTGCTAGCCTCTGTGCAGTGGGTAACCCGCTGACGCGCAGGAGTGAACTGGTGTACTCCCCCATCCTGTAGGTCAGCACCACTCACCAGGTTCGTAGAGAACGAGGGGAGGTAGAGACCAGACAGGGTGCCAGAGGGAGCCGCCGGACACGGGAGGACCGTGGAGAAGTGAGACAGGGCAGGACTCCCAGAGGGGTTAGCCAGAGACACCGCAATCGGCCGACTAAGCGGCGTGAGTGTGGTGCGGTCCCAAAAGAAGGAGCGAGAGGCCCCAGAGTCAAGGGTGAAGGTGAGGGAGGCCGAAGCCGACGTAGTACCTGAGAGCGCAGACTCACCAGTACCTGAGGGCGCAGACGCAGTAGCACCTAGAGCAGCAGCGTCGCAAGCACCTAGGGCAGCCGCCTCACCAGTACCTAGAGCAGCAGTCTCAATGCCCGGATCGGGCAGGAAACACCGGTAACAGTCACCCTCATCACTAATAGACACAGCATACATGGAAGAAAGAATAGCATCAAAATCAAGATTATAGATGGCAACACCCGCCCTAGACAGCTCGCCCCAGCGAGGGATCTCGGAGGCCTCCGGGAACTGGTGACGCCACCCGTCCGTCAGGCGGCCAAAGCAGCGCTGGGTGGGGTGTGCACCCCCACACTGCTCACCCGCACGGTCGCCGGTGCGCAGGACGTAGGTGCACGGACCAAAACCCCCACCCCGCTGGCGTGCAGTGTACCACTCACGGAGCTGCTGAGGGGACAGGGTCTCACGACCGCGCTGCTGCTGCTGGTGCGGACCACCACCGGAGCCACTCCTCTGCGTAGACCCGCGACCAGCTCCACCGCCACCCCCGCCGCCTCCGCCGCCTCCGCCGCCTCCGCCGCCTCCGCTACTACCGCCGCCTCCGCCGCCTCCTCCACCGCCGCCACCTCCGCCACCTCCGCTCCCACCGCCACCGCCGCCGCCGCCTCCGCCTCCACTGCCGCCACCGACACCTCCACCCCCACCACCACTCCCACCGCCACCCCCACTCCCCCGCCGCCTCCACCCCCATCTCCACCGCCCCCGCTCGCCCCTCCAGTGCCCCTGCCCCCCTTGCCCTTGCTAGAGCGGCGTCTCCCGCTAGGGGTAGACGCCGCACCGACCGACTCAAGACCAAGGAGGTCGGCCGCAGCAGCAGAGGCAACAGAGGGCAGCAGGGGGGAGGGGGAACACCCCTCAAAGATGGGGGTGCGCGGGTCACCACGAGAGGCCCCTACAGCGACTATGCTCTTCTCGGCCGCTAGGAGGGACTTCTCGAGGAGGTCAACAGTGAGGGTGGTGGGACAGACTGAGAGGAAGTGGTCCCTGACTACGCGAAGGGAGTCAGGGAGGCGAGTGACTAAGTAGTAGCGAGTGATGTACATGGGGGGGGGGTTCTTGGCGCAGAAGCCAGCAGGAAGCGCAGCGCGGTAGCGAGTGTCACTAGTGCGGTGGTGCGTAATGAGGTCAGCAACTGTGGGAAAGGCAGTAAGGTCAGGGAAGAGGTACGGTAGCATGAGACGGCTCAGTGCAGCACTGGCAGGGGAGGAGTAGCGCGCAACTACAGCGTCGTACGAGGTCTGAGCACTCTTGTACTGAATAAAGTGCGCGCGCTCGGAGGTAGGCAGGTGGCGACGCACAGCAAGACGTGCAGCAGCATCGCGCGTGGCCCAATGGGAGCGAACAGTGGCGTCAGCGTCAGCAGCAGGGGCAGGGGAGGCGCCAGAGGTGAGGTCAAAGAGGGAGAGACCGTCTGCCTTATCGCACTGTAGGAAAAGCTGCAGGTCATCTACCCAGACCTCAAAGTCAATGGCCCGACCCTCAGCGTCAAAAGCGAGAACACTGGGGGTAGCCATGACAGCAGTTGACTAGCAACACTAATTGTAGGACAGGGGCAGTGCAGTGACAGAAGCGCTGCTCTCACCAGACAGGGCGGTTCGGGCAGCTCATCAGCACAGCAGCTCGGCAACACGGCGGCTCGGGCGACTCGGACGGCTCAGTAGCAACTGCGGCTCTGCTGCACCAGCGGCTCGGCTCCTCAGCGGCTCAGGCGGCTCGGGCGGCTCGGGCGGCTCGGGCGGCTCGGGCGTCTCGGGCGGCTCGGGCGGCTTGGGCGGCTCGGGCGGAATGGGCGGCTCGGTGACGTAGGGCGGCAGGGCCGCTGGTAGGGCGGCAGGGCCGCTGGTAGGGCGGCAGGGCCGCTGGGAGGGCGGCGGGGCCGCGAGGTAGGTGGCGGGGCCGCAGTGGGAGGGGCGGCGGGGCCGAAGTGAGAGGGGCGGCGGGGCCGCAGCGAAGGGCGGCGGGGCCGCAAGGTAGGCGGCGGGGTCGCAGCGAGAGAGGCGGCGGGGCCGCAGAGAAGGGCGGCGGGGCCGCAGCGAAGGGCGGTGGGGCCGCAGCGAAGGGCGGCAGGGCCGCAGCGAGGGGCGGCGGGGCCGCAGCGAAGGGCAGCGGGGCCGCAGCGAAGGGCGGCGGGGCCGCAGCAAAGGGTGGCGGGGCCGCAGTGAAGGGCGGCGGGGCCGGGACTGGGCGGCGCCTGGGCCGTAGGGCTAGGCGACGGGGCCGTAGGGCTAGGCGACGTGGCCGCTAGGGCGATGGGGCCGCCAGAGCGTCGGGGCCGCTAGGGCGACGGGGCCGCTAGGGCGGCGCGACACAGTCGCTAGGGCGGCTCGACGAGATGAGAGAGAGGAGCGCGACTCGGGCTGAGCGCGCTCCGGGCAGGAAAAAAAGTTTCGACTTGGTGGGCCCTAGGCACAGTTCCCACTAGGGAACCTGCTCGATACCATGAGAAAACTGAAACGAGAATGATTGAACTATGAATGAACTGAGTACAAGTACTAACCCTAATTGAGTTGTACCCCTTATGGGCTACCCCACTATAGCCTACACAATAAGCACAAGCTATATGTTCTGACAGTACATACGGTCCAAGCGAGAGGCTGGAAGTGACACTGCAAGTAGCGGGCTTGCAGGTGGGGGTAAGGCGGGTCGGGGAGGTGTGGGTGCAAGAACCACAAGCGGAGGGCCCACAGGAGGGGGATAAGTAGGACGGGGTGCTATAGGAGGGGGGGGGGCGGGAGATAGTACGAGGACGGCCGAAGTACGAGAAAACGACGCCGTTGGGGTGGAGAGCCCGGAAGACGTCAACGAGCAAATGTTCAGATAGCAAGGCCGCTATGGCGACGGCTTCACTCCGTTCATGACCATGCATGGGGCGGTTGCGGTCAGCAGGGAGAATGACCGAGTTAAATTCTCCCACAAGCAGAGTTGCAGATGCAGCTGAAGGAGCTTCCAGCATCGGGGCAAGGCATGAGCGCCACCATGGGTGTCTATCAGTGGCTTGAGGCGGGGCGTATAATGCGATGAGCCGTATTTGTTCGTGATGAGAATTGACGTCGTCGGATAGGAGACGTCCAATCGTTGATGTTGTATAGGAAGTAAGAGAGATTGACTTATTGAATACAAGGATAGAGATACCTCCGGGGGAGGGACGTGAGCCAGACGAGCGGGAGTTACCCTGGTGGGCTACGGTGTGAGTAGAAGCGTGGAGGCGAAAGCGGAGGTCTAGATTTTTGACATTGTCTGTAAGGCGGGTGTCAACGAGAACAACGATGTCAATATTTCTTCCGAAGAAGTTAAGCCACCCTTTTAGGGCATTCATTCTAAAAGGGGAGTTCGGACCATTAATATTGATGCATACTATCCTAAGACGTGTTATCATGATACAAAGTGCAGAGCCCATCGCGCACAAAGGTGAGCGAATCCACGGGCTGATACGTAGAGTGAAAGTTGGGTAAACATATTTAAATCACAAAAGTTGCATAGGTGAATCATGTGACAAGTTGAAAAGACTCTTATCCTCTTTATAAGTATGGCAAGGTGGTAGCAAACACACAATGTTACAGCCACAAAAGGATTTCTCAATAATCGTTCCTGAACTGGGCAAGAAAGTTGCGAATCGGCTTTTCGGCAACGAAGGTCATAGCCTTCCAACCAGTGTATGTATCCTTAAGGCTGTGAGGGAGGGGGTGGGGGTGGGGGGCTTAAGGCGCGAATGCGAAGCAAAAGGCCAGAGAGGGTGACAGGGTGAAGACGAAGGTAGGGAAAGCAGGGAGGGTGGGGGCGGGGTGGGGGAGTGGGCGGCACCATTGGTTTGGCATCACCACCCCAAACTTGGCTGTAGGGGAAGGGGGGGGGTGAAATCGAGGAAGGGGGAGCTGAAAGGGTAAGTGTAGGATTTGGGCGATGAGGGGGTTGCAGACGTGGCGCCAGCGCCAAGAGCCAATCTGGAGGGGAGGGCCAGTCAAAAATTGGAGGGGGAATGACGGGGAGGGAGCAGGCAATGAGGGGGTACGGGGAGCGTGACTAGCATTGCACCAGAGCTTAATGCCGGGCCGAAGAGGAGAAGACCGAAAACGGGAAAGTCAAGATCTCCGCAGGTTCGTTCACCAGCGCGCCATTCACAACGAGCTCATCGATCTGCGTTCTCCATTTCCTCTCCTTGATTTTCGCCGATTTCCTTTTCGACGAGACCTTCCCTTTGAGCTCTTCTTGGTACCCGGATTGTAAATGCTGCTTGTCCCGCCTCGATGCCTGGTATTCCTTTAGTTGCGACTCACGAATCAGCAGTTGTTTTCTTATCCTTGCGCAGCCAGGATTCTCCATCATTGCCTGCTTCAGTTGCGCCATCGACCGTGTGAGGTGCAGCATCGTGGCCTTCACTCTCTTTCCCTCCTCTCTCGCGTAAGCCCTTAAACCAGCATTGAGGCGGGTCAGGAGCAACTCAAAATCGTCGCCCGCTTCACTGATTGCTCCTTCCACCACCCTGCGAACCCCCGGACGGCCGAGCAGAGAGGCGGGGAGTCTCCAGATGCCCGGCCCCAGCTTCGCCCTCGGATTACAGCGGAAAGCAACCCTTATCGCAAAACCATGGTTGGATATCGGGTCATCAGGTGAGACGTGTGATGTGGAGATTAGCCATGGGAGCAGGGACTGCGACGCCATGGCCCTATCGATCCGTGTACTGGATTGCTGCGCATGCGAGAAGAAATTGTATTCTCTTTTGTTAGGATGCAGTGCCTGAAAAGCGTCTGAGAGATTGAAAACCCCGCATCTCCTGCACAGTCTGTCATTCCCTACCGCTGAGCCTGCACCAGATGTCGTGTCCAAGAAAGGGTCATCAACCATATTCAGGTCGCCGAGGACGAGAAGATGGTCGCCTGGGTCCAACAGATCCACCACCGGACCAACCACATCCCTGATGAAAACTTGACGCGCTGCAGGCGACGCCGGGAAATATGTCGCTAACAGCACTATCGTGAGACGTCTACCTACTACCTCCGACTTGATCAGTCTACCTAAAGGGTGAGTCACTGTGTTCTGAAGCTGTAAGTGTGGATTGTCTAAGACTATGGCTACACCTCCGGCCCTAGCTGTGGGTGTGGAGGCAACTACTGTGTGGTTCCTAAGAGATTTTCAGTAACTGTGTGAAGGTGCGATCCTTGTGTCTGTGAGGACGTTGATGTCTGCAGCTGTTCTTATCCAATTGGTCGCAAATCCTTGCTTGACACTATTGCCTAAACCGTTTACATTGAGACCCGCGAAAGAGATGGTATTTCTTGTACTCATTGCGGTAGCAATGTGATCTCCGGCCAACATGAAATACTTCCCCTTTGCCTTCCCGTAGCATGAGTGGGTGCACACCCATTCCTCCCGATTGCAGCCGGTCGAGACAAACGCAATTGCAGGATCATGAAGAAGCGGGGTGACTAGCGACGAGGTGTGTAAAGAAGCAGTTGCGACAGGGACGCGGCAAGACGTTAGCAGGCATGGTAAGAGAAGAAACCAAGACAGCATGCTGCGGATCTATGCAGTTACCATTGATCCTATGCGCCCTTCCCAAGGTAAGGTTCCACTTCCCTATGTTACATTGCCGCTCGGTGATGAAAACATCATGACATTTGTCATAGTGTTGCCCACCACAGAGAGAGCAACGTAGCGAAGGATAGTGGACCAGCAGGACCTTGCTCCTGTCCATCGGATCCGTGATGGTCTGCTTCAGACACCGGTTCTGATCCTTTGGGAACGGGTAAACCAGTCCCTTGATGATGTCTGTGTCAGCTCCGGTCACAGGATGGAGGACGCGGTGGAAGCACTTCCCCTCCCTGAAAACAGGTCACAGCTTGACCTTCAGCTTGATGACCGCCAGACATTCCTTCAGAAGATCAGGTGAGATGTTAGCCGAAATGTTTTTGAAAACAACCTCAATAGCATGCGGATTTGCCGACTTTTCCTTCAGAAATTCTGCATCCTCAGTGAACTGCCAGAAAAGCTGAAATTTCTTTCTGTTGCCAGACCGCTGATACTCCACCGTCTTCTGACGGACTTTCTCAATGTCTTCCTCTTGCAGGAGAGACATCTGCAAACGGCAGTACTTGGTCTTCGCGACGAAAGCTGGCTGAAGCGTCTGCACCTTGGCCCCAACCGCAGCACCAGGCGACAGGGTGGGAGCCCAAACTTTCTTCAGCAGCGTCCGCACCGACGTGATGACCGCACCCATTTCTCCTTGCAGGAAAATCGGCACCGGCAGAATACCCGTGTAGCAAATCCTTGTAAGCAGGTCACCCGAGAAATCCAGATCCAGCTCATCATCCGATTCCTCGTCAAGAAAGTCGTCATCTTGTTGCTTTGGCGAACTAGCCTTGTCAGCGACAGAGAGTCCCGAGCTGCCGGCAGGACTCAGATTCTTGACAGGTGATGAAACCACTTGCTTCCCATTCTGCTTCCCTGATGCAGGGTCCACCGAAGGAAGAGTGTCAGATCCTTCAGGGACGTCAGTTGGAGCATCAGCAAGCGTCTTCTTGTTAGCTTTAGGAGGCATGGTGCTGGGATGACAAAAACGCAGCGACTGAGAGTAAGAACTCCAGTGGTAGAAGGCTGAGAAGGCAGATGATAATGCTGCTTGTCTGAGCACTGGGACAAAATAGATCGAGGGAGACCTCGACCATTGTTCTTGCTGTAGATGATAAGAGACCGAGGTTCTGGCCTTGGGATCATGCTTAGGGAGTTCCGTTGTAATAATCGCGAAATACTGTGCTGACAAGATATTAGCCGTGTTAAAACTGAAAGATGATGAATGCGCAAGTGAAGTTAAGATCCCAAGGGTTGACAGCGACGCATCAGGCAAAAGAGCCTTGAGATCAGGAGATGCAACGTCGACAATGTCAACATAAAGGCCGTATCTCCCGATAGCGTATGCCAAGGCGATGCTATTAATGCCAGTAACGGGACGAACTGATATGGGAGCTTCACGTAATGCGCTTGCCAGGCTAGCGCCTAGCGGCCATGGCGGCGAGCTCGAGGTAGGCATTCCAATTTGCAGCTGGCAGCATCTGACGTGGTCGAATTAAATGTAGTTGTCGTGGGCGGAGGCGAGTTGAGCGTTTTGTCGCTTGTAGAGTTGGAAGTCTTGTCCCGAAATCCTCAGGCCGTGAAATCGGGGTGTGGCGAAAACGTCGTCGATGAAGGCGATAAGTAGCGAGTTGATTGTCGAGAGTCGGCGATGGTCGTCGCAATTGTAACCAAAAACAAATAGCACTCCGAAAATGTTGGCGAACGCGATCCAGTGTCAGATGATGTCAGCACTTGTCGGCGGCTTTGTCCAGGCTCACTGAGAAATGTGTCGTAATGCGCCGAGGGCGCCTGGGCAGAGATGAAAAATTGCAGCTGTCTCTCCCCCCTCCATTGTTGCTGCCGCCTTCTTCATTTCGTCGTAAGTCGTTTGTACCCATTGAAAACCCCGTGTAGTTCCCGCGGTGTTCATTTCGCCCATGCTGACGCAGACCCGTTGTCGCCAGCTGCTGAGGATCTCCCGAAAATCTCGGGCACATGTTGACGTGTTCCACCGACGTCCACTTGTCGTGTAAGGACGATCCCGAAATCATCGCGCAGCCGTTGACTCAAGTCCGCCGGCGTCAACAGCCACACACAGTGACGACGTCGAGGCTGTTCATGCAGATGCCGACGCAGGTCCGCTGACGCCAACTGCCACACGAATCAAGCTCCGAAATCGTCGGAAATCGCAGCGGAAATCACTCACTTTAATGTCGCGACAGCTACAGCTGTCCGTTGCCCGGGGGGAGGGAGGTCACGGTCAATCGCGACCGTTCGAGGAAAGGATCCGGCGGTGCAAAATGAGTGCCCGTAAAAACATCGCCGCGAGGAGCAACTAACTCGTTCTCGTGGCCGGCTAGCACGCAACTCCCGGACCCCAAGGCATCCTTCCTCGTCCCCCCCCCCCCGAGGGGTATTACACTCTAAAAAGCGGGGTAGGCTAGGAAAGTAACTCTGATACCAGGTGTTATGAATGAACTTGCAGAGTGCGCAGAATATCGAATAACGAGAATGAGAATTATAGAATGACGATACAATGGAAGTGCGAGGCCTAAATAGGGGAAAACCTAGCTAGGCGGGGGGTTCGGTTTGGGATGGCTCGGTGATGGTTACGTTTGGGGCGGATGCCGACTCGGGAGTGGTTCGGTGCGACGAAATAGGCCCAACAGGTTCGTCGCGTGACCCTTGGGATGGCCTCGCTAATGAGTGCCTCCGTGAGGATTTGTAAATCCTTACATGGGAAGGGACAGCTCTCTTGATCTGCATGCTAAAACATCCACCGTTGTAACTGTTTATAGAGCTGAAATGTTAATAAGGGAATACTTGCAAATAAGGCTTCATAACATTTTTGTAAGAAAAAATATGGAGATAATAGAACTCTTCATATTGATCGCAATAGGTTGATTCGCAACATCGAAGAACGATAGGCCACCAGCCATGCAGTTAGCGAAATAGGGCATTAACGACTCCAAAGGCCCGAAGCGCGTGCCGGCAGCAGCAACTGTTAGAAGAAGGACCTTTAGAATAGGATAGGTCTGTCTGAAAAAATAGGTAGCAGAAAGTCTTGGTGGTGAAACCTTGTTGCTAGTGAATGGTTCCTACTTGTACCCAACTCTTTTCTAGTTTAATCACCCTTGTTGATTTTGACATGGTATCACGAGCCTAGGTTGCCACCTAGGACCGCTTACTACTACGGGCCCACTATTCCGCTAGAAGCGCCCTCGTGCGCCCTACCTTACGTGCGCCCTCGTGCGCCTTTCTTCGCTCGTGCGCCCTCGTGCGCCTTTTTTCAGCTAGTGCGCCCTCGCACGCCTCGCCCTTCGTTCTGCCCGCGGGCCGTCCTGCAGCCTTCGCGCTGCCTCCTGCTGCCCTAGGCCAGTGCGCCGCCCCTACAGGCCCGTCAGGCCCCCGAGCCGCCTCTGCAGGCTCGTCAGGCCCCCGAGCCGCCCCTGCAGGCCCTAGCCGCCCGAGCACAGCCTCTGCCCGACCGCGCGCCACCCCTGCAGGCCCTCGCCGCCCGCACGCAGCCTCTGCAGGCCCGTCAGGCCAGCGCGCGACCCCGTCAGGTCGCTGTCGCGGCCCCGTCAGGCCGCGGTCGCAGCCTCGCCTTGTCGCTGACGCGGCCCCACCCTGCAGCGGTCGCGGCCCCGCCCTGCAGCCGACGCGGACGCGGCCGCGCCCTGCTACTGACGTAGCCGCGCCCTGCTACTGACGCGGCCACACCCAGCTGCTGACGCGTCGTCGCCCCCTGCCCGCCGCGTCGCCCTGCCCGCCGCGTCGCCCTGCCCGCCGCGTCGGCCCCTGCCCGCGGCGTCGCCCTGCCCGCCGCGTCGCCCCTGCCCGCGGCGTCGCCCCTGCCCGCCGCGTCGCCCTGCCCAACCCCGCGCCTGGCCCCTGGAGCAGGCGCCCTTGGAGCAGCCGCCACTGCAGCAGCCGCCCCTGGCCCTTGGAGCAGCCGCACCTACAGCCGCCCATGGCCCCTGGAGCGGCCGCCCCTGCAGAAGCCGCCCCTGGCCACTGGAGCAGCCGCCACCGCAGGAGCCGCCCCTGGCCTTTGGAGCAGCCGCCCCTAGAGCAGCCGCCCCTGGAGCAGCCGCCACTGCACCAGCCGCCCCTGGCCCCTGGAGCAGCCGCCCCTGCAGCAGCCGCCCCTGCAGCAGCTGCCGTTGCGGCCCGGTCCCGCCCTGCAGCAACTGCCGCGGAGCTCCCTGCCGCGGTCGCGGCCCCACCCTGCCGCTGTAGCGGCCCCGCAGTCGCCTCCGTCGTGCGCTGCCCTTCCCACCACTGGTGAGCACTGCCCTGCCCGTGCTGCTACTGCTGTTACTACTTCTGCTACTGCTACTGCTGCTCCTGCTGCTACTGCTCTTTCTACTGCTACTGAGGCTCCTGGCGTGGCCACATGCAGCTCCAGGGTCGTCCGCGTGTGTCCCTCACGCCCCAGCGGCTTCGTGAGTGGTACGTCAGTTGGGGTTGTCGGGGTGGCAGTAGTGGGAGTCGTCCTGGAGCGGGTAGTTCGGGAGTTTCTTGTAGTGGCCCAGTGCAGCAGCAGCGTCGTCTGCGCGAGACTCATTCGCCCCAGCAGCTTCGTGAGTGGTACGCTCAGAGTAGAGGGTCTCTGAGTACTGCTCGTTGCCCGTACGTTGTTAGCACAGGTGTCCGGACTGGTCAGCCTTGCGGGACGCCTAGTCACATAGAGTCTCGCTGCTTCGCCAGTCTGAGCGACGCTTGGCGTACAGAGTTTGGCGACGACGCTGAGCTCCCCGACTGGGTGGAGCTGCTTAGGCATAGATATCTTTGCTCTTGACTATGATGCTATTCTCACTGCAATGTATGCATTGTCTACTAGTGCCGAGGGAGCTTGTCACCTGTGTGTGCCGCCTGACCCCGGTATCCAGTCTGCTGCTCCAGGTGCAGGTGAGGCTGCTGCTCTAGGCGCTCGTGAGTCTGCGCCTTCAGGTACTACGTCTACTGAGGCACTACACACCTTCACACTGGACTCAGGTGCTTCCCGCTGTTTCTTTCGCGACCGCACTGCCCTAGAGCAGCTCCCTAGACCGGTTGCTATCTCCCTGGCTGACCCCTCCGGGGGTCCGGTCCTTGCGACCTCCACCACTGCCCTCCCTTGTCCTGCTGTCCTGTCCGGCACACTGTCGGGCCTTTACCTCCCCTCGTTCTCTATGAACTTGGTGGTGGGTTCTGCGCTCTAGGACGCGGGTGTTCACTAGTTCACCCCTGCCTACGAGCGTGTGACACACTGCACGTGTGCCTAGACGGGTCGTCAACTGGCTACCTTCATTCGGCAGCCGGGGTCGGACTTGTACACACTAACCACTGAGTCCCCTCAGGTAGCGGCGTCTGCGTCTGCGTCAGGTCAGTTGTCCGCCCCCTGCTCGTGTCGCACCCTCTCGCACCAGACCGTCCTCTGGCGCCACCGCCTTGGTCACCCCTCAGTGAAGCGCCTTCGTGGCATGCACTCCCGGTACCTTGTCTCTGGTCTTCCCAGGGTTCTCCCTCCCCTCCCACCCTCGCCTGCTCCTCCTTGTCTTCCCTGTGTCGAGGGGCGGCAGCGTGCCACTCCTCACTCCTCGTTCCCTCCCACAGAGGCTCCCCTGCAGACTCTCCACCTGGACGTGTGGGGCCCAGCCCGCGTCCGTGGACAGGGCCACGAGTGGTACTTCCTGCTGGTCGTCGACGACTACACGCGCTACACCACGGTCTTCCCCTTGCGCACCAAGGGTGAGGTCCCTGATGTTTTGATCCCCTGGGTTTGCGCTGCTCGTCTCCACCTCTGCGAGCGGTTCCATTTGGACTTTCCCGTCCTGCGTATGCACTCTGACAGGGGTGGTGGGTTTTACTCCGACCTCTTGGCAGCCTACCGTGCGGAGCACGGCATCCGCCAGACGTTCACAATGGGGTTGCTGAGCGCCGCATTGGCTAAGATAGTGTAGTGCAAGCCCGGATCTCAAGTTTCACTTTGGCCTGCGCCCG